TTGCATATAAATTTTATGTTTACACTAGACTGCAGTCTTTTACCAATGTAGTAGCATTATGGGAACATTTTGAAATATTATGGGAATTATCAAAATGCTGTACAGACCTGAAGCAGCACCAGCTTTGGGAGCAATGGCCCCACAGACTTGCTTTACGCAGGATGGCCACAGCTCCACGTAACACAGAAGGGGCCAGCTGTGAGGTGCAGCAAGGTGAAGTCCAGTTTAAAAAAAAAAAAGATGTATGCCTTTACAAAAGTTAAAAGGCAAGGATTTATAGTTATGGTTTGGAATTTTTATCTTATGCTTAACCCCAATCTCTCTCTCTTTCTCTCTCCGTTCCCATCCCCTCCCTCCCTCCCCCACACTTCCTCACAGCATCAGATGAAGCGCCAACGTCAGCAGGTAAAGTTATGCCTTGAAGATTATTTCACTTTAATGAAACGCCCTTAAGGAGGGAGCGCTATTAAGTTTTCAAAGTGTATTTAGCAGATCTTAGCCAGAAAATTGGTGCAATTTTATTTGAATCCCTAAATTACCGTGTAAATGCCAAGTGCTAATGAAGGTTTTTGTATTGATTTGGAGAGGGGATACAAAATAAGTCATACCTGCATTGCTAAACATGGAAATGTTCCTACTTACTGAAGAGGGAGCATCCATTTGATAACTGCTTCCGTTCGCTGGAAGGTCCGTTGAAGCGCCTTAGCCTAAGGAGCCTGTTTTGTAGCACCTGAGCCTGATGATAGTTTCACTGAGCACCAGCTTCTCTAACTACTCAAGTCTTGTTTTCTTTCATCTGAGTTGAATATTATGTTCATGTATTTAAGCCTCTGATTTCATTGAGTATAATAAAGACTACATTTAATTAAATTCCTGTAATAATACCATGAGCGATACAAGAAAGTCCATCAAACTCGTGCATAATAAAAAGCTTGTGGAAAATCCCATTATATTTTAATTTCATTTTCACATGAACTTTTTAAATTCTCCGTAAATTCCTACATCCTATTATACACTGTTATTCACATTTTAATGCCACCTTAACAGACACTGTATTCCAAAATGAGAACAATTACCTGAAGAAGTATATATAAGCCAGTTGTATTGGTATTGCTCAAATAATTTTGGGAAATTCTCTTGTTCTTTTGAATTTACTTATTGGACTGCTGCATAAAGTATTTCTTTGTAGTATTACAGATAACTGTGCTACCCAGTGAATCAAACTTTATCTGAGAAATAAGCCCCTCAAACCAAATATTTGTTAGTATTAAGAATGTGTGTGCCAATGTGTTGGCACAGATGCCCATGATTTTGTGAATGAGTGTTTCTATGGATATGAATCATAGATACATTTGCAATATTGACACTAGCAGCCCTTATTTGACTATGTTATCTCCGTCATTTAGAAAATGTTGTAAACTTTGAGATTTGCTAGCCAGATAATGCATAAAAATTGGTTAGACAGATAGTCCTAGACAGATAACCCTAGCAGCAGCTAACAGCTAGATTCTACTGGGGGTAGGGAGTGGGGACCGACTGTGAAGGCGTATGTACAATATGCCCAAGGATGCATATATGTAAGTAACAGACCAAGAACGAAAGCCGAGTTTCCCTAGCAAAAGACTTATGGTTGCTCTCTTATAGCATACTCTGTGTTCTTATTTACTTACAGTGAAAGAATTTGGATTTCTTTCCATTGTTAAAGTCATAGGAGACTGATTCAAGTTATAGCTAATTTATAATCTCATATTTAATAGCCTTTGCATGATTTTATATATTATTTTAAATTACAGTATCTGATTGCTGTAGTACTTATTGACCTAGTAGACCTTTCTGAAAAGAATAACATGGTATATGAAAATACCCCCAAATGCTGCAACAACAACAAGAAAATCCCAAACAAACAAAACCCCTCAGTACCATTGAGTTCATGCAGATTCCGTGACCCTAGGGAACTGGGTAGAACTTCCCCTGTGGGTTTTTGAGACTGTAAATCTTGTTGTGAGTAGAAAGCCTCATCTTTCTCCCACCGAGCTACTGGTGGCTTTGAACTGATAACCTTTTGGGTAGCAGCCCAATGTATAACTAGTTATGCCAGCAGAGCTCCTTTAAATATATCTGAAAAGGCTAGATAAAACTGCCATGCTGAGACAGAACCCTATATTGTATATTTGCTTCCCGCCCCCCTCCCCATATTCTTCCTTAACTCAGGTTCTCCATCGCAGTAGCTCAAGCAAAAACTTTTAATGTAAAGTTTGAACTTATATTCCATAATTTGATCTGACCATATCCTATTAACTCCATCTGAAATGTATTTTCATGAGTTAACCTCTTCTTTTGTCCTCCCAATCATTTTACTGAGGGCTTGTACAGCTCTTATTGCAGTGCATACAAAGACCCATTGTGTCAAGCACACTTGTACATATGTTGCCATCAGCCTGTTCAAAACATTTTTTTTCTACTTGAGTCCTTGATATCAGCTCCTCATTTTTTCCCTGCCCCCACCCTCCTCCCTCATGAACCCTTGATAATTTATAAGTTATTATTATCATTTTTCATGTCTACACTGACTGGTGTCTCTCTTTCTGTTGTCCGTCCCCCTGGGAGGGTGTTATATGTAGATAATCATGATTGGTTCCTCTTTTCTCCCCCCACTTCCCATTCCCCTCCTGGTATCACTACTTACATTATTGGTCCTGAGGGGTTTATCTGTCCTGGATTCCCTGTGTTTCCAGCTCTTATCTGTACCAGTGCACATACTCTGGTCTAGCCAGATTTGTCAGGTAGAATTGGGGTCATGATAGTGGAGGGAGGAAGCATTAAAGAACTAGAGGAAAGTTTTATGTTTCATTGGTCCTATACTGCACCCTGATTGGCTCATCTCTTCCTTGTGACCCTTCTGAAAGCGGTTGTCCAGTTGTCTACAGATGGGCTTTGTGCCTCCACGCTGCCCTCCCCCTAATTCACATTGATATGATTTATTTTGTTTTCTTTTGGGTCTGATACCTGATCCCATTGACACCTCATGATCACGCAGGCAGGTATGCTTCTTCCATGTGGGCTTTGTTGCTTCTGAGCTAGATGGCTGCTTGCTTATCTTCAAGCCTTTAAGACCCCAGATGCTATATCTTTTGATAGCCCGGCACCATGGAGCTAACCTCTTCTTATCACCTCTGCCTCCTTCCTAGTCCATGGCACCATTTTATCACACCTGTGTTATTATTGTAATAGGTTGGTTTGCTGTTACCCTTACCCACTCTGTAGCCCATTTTCAACAGAACAGTCACAGTGATTGATTCTTTAACAATACTAGTTAGTTCCTGCTATTCTTACACTCCGGAGTCTTCGAGTACCTCTGCTTTAACCCTTCAATGATGGGAGCATTGGTGGTTCCATTGTAGTAATCTTGTTTTCCATGCAGGAGAGTTAGCTTTAATTCTTGGCCAGTGCACCCCTAGCTCAGCCACCATATATTTGTTGGTGGAGATGTGTGTGTAGCTATGATGCTGACCAGGTATTAGTGGGCCTTCCAGAATATTCAAGAAACCCTGTGATGGTCTACTTCTGAAAATCAGGTAATGCACATCTTGTGCATCCTAACAGTCCCATCCTGTTGTGCATAAAGTTGCCTTGATGTGGAGGGCCTACTCCATTACTGCTAATCATAGCAACAACGAACCAGCAATGGCACTCATCTAGCTCCGGCATGTTTAGGCCAGCAACTTCTCCAACCCTCTCTGACATTATTCCCTACGACTCCTACCTCTCCTTCATTTTCTATAAACAAAAATCAAACACACACCCCTGGTCATGTTCCAGTGTTAGCCAGGGCTTTGGACTCACAGACCTGCTGTGACATTTCTAGCAGGAATCTGGGTGAGTATTCCCTCAATGCCTTCACATTTTGGATGAAAAGATGTCATCCCGTAGCATCCTTCTCCATTCCTTCTATTAGAAAGCGTGCAGTGTTTATCTTGCCACGACCTGGGCTCTGCTTTATTTTGTTTTAGCAGTCTGCTTTTTAACTTATTTATGATTATTATCTCTGCCTGCAATAAAACATATGCATTGTTTGTCCCAGCTAAATATAAAAGACTCCTGTAGTACAATAGTTATAAGGTTAACAATTTGAACCCATCAGTGGCTGTGTGGCAGAAAGACCTGATGCTCTGTTCCTATCAACAAAAACCCTGTTGCTTCTGCTCTTGTGCCTGCCAATTGTAAGGGGCCTAAGATAAGCAAGACTGGATATAAACCCTTCAAAGCTGGGATTTCAGGAGTGGGGGAAGTGTCTATTTTATATATAATTGATTCTCTAGCTGCTAGAACAAGTGCCTGGTACTTGGTAGGTGCCTCATAAATTCATTATAGGATTGAAATCACGAATAAATTAAGCCATATTGATTTTCTGATGGTTTTAAGACATTGCTGGTTCAAAAGCATACACAATTCTTCCGGGTAAGATGATATGAAGAAAGGGTGATGATAGATATATTTCCCAATTTAAGTAATAAATAAATAAAGGAGTAACTATGAACCTAATAAGAATTGTAAAGATGCTTTAAATTCTTATGGAGTTGGCAGAGGAAAGAGACTTGTGATATTTTACTTTTGTTGCAGTAGACCAGAGTACTTTTGTTTAGTGAGTCTTCCCATAGGATGTCCTCACAATGTCAGTAATTTAGCAGCCATTGTTGGTAATTACTGAAAGGAAACCACCACAGTGGTTTCAAGAACCTCAGACATTACCTCAAACATCATCTACTGATGGGTATTGGTGGGTACATTGTGGAAAGGCAGGGCAGGGCCATGCACTGCATGCATTAGTGGGCCAAGCCTGCAATTCCTCTTGGCTTTATGCACTTGGAGTGCAAGAGTAATACATTCTTCATTACAATAACATCCTCATTAAGGAGGAGATCCTCAATGAGATGGATTGACACTGGAGTAAAAACACAGCAAGGATTGGGAAGATGTCACAGAAGCTGGTGATATTTCTTGCAGTTTAGACATAAGGGCATCAGAATTGGAGCCCATAGGACAGCAAACAACAAAGATAGATGATTCATTGCTCGTACAAGTAATTCTCTTTTCACAGTTAAATGGATGATAAATTTGTTTAAGTCCTTGACTGATGTATTTCAAAATCTAAAATGAAATGTGCTTAGAATATATGTGTATGTCTTCATGTATTTGTGGATCATAAATTAATTTTTTTTTCTGAATCAGATTCTTTAGTGCTAGAATGCTTTGAAATTTAGAGACATATTCCTTACCTACTTCATTTTTTTCTGCTTCTGTAGGTAGAAATCTAAATGAAAAAGAAACATTTTTTAAATGCAATTTAAATGTTTTAGCATTTCTTTTGTAAAAAACTTCATAGAGGTTCATGAAAAAATAATGAA